ACAATGGCAACTACATCGAAATTGACGGCACCGCGCTCTTGTTTCGACAGAAATTCCCCGACCTGCCTTTTGTCTTCCTCCCTTCCAATCACAGGTCCATCTGGTTGACTGGAACTGGGAGGTAAATTTTGACGTGCTTTAGTGGACGACGTCGTCCCAGTAATGATATTCAAACTAAGCTGGTCCTTTCGCTGAGATATCTCTTGTAAACGCTCAGTAATCTTCTGTATTTCTGAGTTCATTTTGTAGTTGAAAACACCATTAGGGACTGAGTTCCAGACCCTTCTTGCGGTGCCGGCATAATGTCCCTGCTCTATCTCCCGTTTGAGCATTTTAGTAGCATATTTGTCCAATACGTCTTCCACGTCATAAGCCAAGTCCCTGAGATCATCCAGCCAAAGCTTCAGCGGCTTGCTCTCCGTGATTAGTTGCCTTTCCTCTGCCTCATTCAGAACCGCTCCAATTGCAGACAAGGTGGCAGTCCACTTCTGCAGCTTTTGGTCGACGCCCTTTATGAGTCCAAAGTACTTGAACACCTCACGACGCGCCATCTTGTCGACCAGCACTTGAAGGAATGCCCCAAGAAAAGCCTCTCCCATAGTTTCTGAAGAGAAGCGAGCAATCAAAGAAAATGTAACGAGTTGTTTCTTAAAGCTGCTTGATTAGAAATGCATCAACTGAAACAAGCTAAATTAGAAATGCATCAAATAAAAGGAATTCTGAGCAATAGTAAAAGAATAAATCAAAGTACCTGTAGTTTAAGGATTTGATATATATCAGCAGATTTCTTCACGAATTACCAAAGGTGTCGCAATGAACAAGAAGGAAAATTCAAAGGCAATAGTAATACATAGTTACACACTTTTAAAACCAAAGAGATCAAGCGAGCCAGAACAAAGACATAATAAATATGAAGATGGATGAAACTAATTATGGGTTTGAAAATTTTGAGTATGAGATGTTATGATGAGAAGATATTGTTGTAAATTGGCTCAAATTTTTTATTTGAATTAATTGTGTTGTCCCAAAAGCAGCTTCCAGCAACAAGTGCTGGCCCAGGTAGTGTGGGGTCCACTTGCTTGGGCTGCCTCGAAGGCGGAGGCAGCCCGAGTGCGAGCTGACGTCATCGCTGATGCCAGCGTGACGTCAGCACGCGGTTGTAAATTTTTTTTACCGTTGGCGCGTGTAATGCACGCGCCAACGTTAAAAAAAATTCAAAATCGCGCGTCAGCTTTTGCGCCCAACGATAACGTGCGACGTGGCAGCCTCTCGTCCTTCTGATTCCGCCTTGTCAACCAATCCAATGGCCTGGAATGTTTCCAGGCAAAGAATGATGAAAAAAAATCGTAAAATTTTTATAAAAAATCCCAAAAAATACTGAATTTTTTTCTATAAATACCAACACCTACTCTTCAGTTTTAACAACAAATTCTCATACATCTTCTCCTTCTCCAACTATTATTCACTTTCTATTCAATATTTTCTTCACTTTTTACTCTAAATTGTTTTCATTTTCAAGTATAATTTTTCTCTATCATTATGGCTTTTTCTCAAGAAACCGGAGGGGCATGGAGCATCATGGAAGATGTCTTGTTGTGTGAGTATTGGGTCCAAATTTGTCATGATCCCATATCGGGTAATGAGATGAAATTCAGTCAAATGTGGAAAAAAATTCTTCACGAATTTGTTGAAAGATCGGGTTCCACCCGTACAGAAAGCGCATTGTCAAGTCAGTGGAAACTTCTCAACAAAGAGTTGGGGAAATGGAGAGATGCCCTCACAAAAGCGATGAATAACCATGCAAGCGGGGAAAATCTAAGCGATGAGGTAATTATTTGTAATTTTCATTTTATTAATTTTAATGTCCTATTAATTTTAATTTTAATGTTTCTTGCAATTGGTATATTTTGTTAATATTTCTTGTATTTCCATATGTATTTAAATGTTTCTTGCATTCTTTATATTTTGTTAATATTTCTTGGATTTTCATTCATATGTTTATCTTTTTTTCAATTGGTATATTTTTTTTAAGTTCCTTGCTTATTCAATTTTTTTTTTTATATAGATTGTGCAAGCTCAAATGTTCTATGGTGCTACTGGACAAGGGAAAAAAAATTTCACCCATACCCAATGTTGGGAGGTGGTTCCAACGGCTCCAACGGTGGTGTTGAACGAGATCTTGGATTTTCATTCATATGTTTATCTTTTTTGCATTACCAATTATTTTTTTAAGTTCCTTGCTTATTCAAATTTTTTTTTTATAGATTGTGCAAGCTCAAATGTTCTATGGTGCTACTGGACAAGGGAAAAAAAATTTCACCCATACCCAATGTTGGGAGGTGGTTCCAACGGCTCCAACGGTGGTGTTGAACGAGATCCCATTTCATGATTCACAAGCTTCGGATTCGCCTATGGAATCCCCTATGAGTGAAGACTTACCCATTCAAAAGGAGCCGAGGCCTATGGGGAGGAAGGCGGCGAAGGCAAAGAGAGGAGTTAATTCTACGAGTAATACCTCTAAATTTTTGGAGGAAATTGCAAGGCAAAGCGCCTTGAGAATTGAAATAGACAAGAAAGTCCAAGAAGATGATAGGGCAATGGCAATAGAATTTGCTAAAGAAAGGGAGTATGTACGCAAAGAAAGGGAGTATCAACGCAAAGAAAATGAAGAAAAGAAGGATCGGGAAACCATGGCCATGGATACAAGTCACATGTCTCCTGAAACAAAACAATATTGGAAGCTAGAACGAAAGGCTATTATGAGACGAAGACTTTTTCGTGATGATGGACCTAGCAATATGTATTGGTTAAATGATGAAAACCCTTAAGTTAGTTTGCTTGTCTTTTCATTTCATTGTATTTCTGTATTTTAATGTTTTGTTTTAAAAATTAGTTGGAATTCATGTATTTTATTGTATTAGTAGTATTGGTTTTCTTTGAGTTACCAAAGAAACTATTAAATAAAATTCCTTTTTATTCAAAACATTCAATACATAAAAAAACTAACCACAACCAAAGCATTAAATTTGAAAATCTGAAATTTGAAAAAAAAATTTATCTGAAATTTGAAACCGAAAATCTTATCTGAAAATCTTATCCGAATATTTTATCAAAAAATCTCATCCGAATATATTGTCCAATTTAATTGTTTAGGTAAACAAATTTGTGAAAAAAACAAAAAATTGAATAGTACCCCCCCTTGCCATGGCAAATGCTAGAAGTGGAACTTACTTTTTGCAAGGACAGACACTTTTCCCGTGAATAGTGTCAGCCCTAGCCCCCCCTTTGCCATGGCAAGATTCCAACTGCTGGAAGTGCTCTTAGGATTGTCTAGACTTGGCAAACGGGTTGAATTAACGGGTTTCGGGTTCGGTACTGGTGTGCTGAACGCAACCAGTGAACCATCATGAAATCCTAAGCTTGAAAAACGCCAAAAAATAAACTCACATCTCATTCGAAGCCTCTCTAACTTCAATCTCACCCCTGATGAATAAATACAATATTTTTTTTTTTACCAATATAAGTGTATAAACCTCATTAGGGTTGTAGGAACATGATGGTTTGATAAAAAAGTCTAACTAGAGTTGTAGGAACATATGTGGGGTGTAGTGAGCAAATTTAATTTATATTATAAATGCTTTTTGTCCTTAACGGTAATTATGTTCAAGGGTTAAATAAATTATTCATGTTTAAAATTAGTATGGGGTGTAAAGAGCAAATAATGGGGTGCCAATAAATTCTCCAAAAAAAAACCTTTTAATCATCCCACAGGAAAAGCTTCAAGGGTGGGAGTGGGAGAACATTTATTTAGTTTTGCTATGACATTCTCAGCTTCCAATCATCCCCAAGGCAATTCCCGGATAGGTTTGAATCAGAGCTTCTTACTATTCTGAAAATTACGTTTTGCTTGCTATTAGTATGCTATACCGAGTGCAATGTGAAATTATTGATTACCCTTTTCCTCTTTTGGTTAATATTGTCTTTTACTTAATGAAAAAGAAGAAATTGTTGATTATCTTAAGGATGCTTATGATAAAGGTGTTTATTTGTGTAAATCATAAATGATTGATATACATACATTTTAATTTTAGTTTGTTAATGTGGAAGCAAATTTTATTGAGGCTTTGGCTAAGATTTTTGTGAATAATTATTTTATTGATATTTTTATACATATATACATATATTTAAAAGAAGAAAAAAAAAACTAGTCTTAGTCCAAGCATACACCAAATGCAGGATAAGTGTTATCCAATTTAGACCAAGCCAAACCAAGCCAAGACAGTCCCTAAACATAGTACATGTCAAGATAATCCTATATAACAAACGAGCCCTCTTAGTTTTGATTTTCTAAGTGTTTGTCAAAAATATCAAAATTCAAAGAGGATAAGAAGACATGCATTGCAATTGTAGCAATAGATGCATGATTTTACTTCATTTATTGAAGGAGATTTGGAGGTACACCAACTTCATATATAATTCGAGGATATTCGAAGGAGACTTTCCATGTAGTGCAAACCAAGTCGTCATAGGACAACATCTTTAGCCAATATGAATGTGAGAAAGATGAGCTAGGATTCTCAGCCCCCCTTTCCTGGTGAAGGTTCTTTACCGTGATGGTTTACCATGCCCCTATATGTTAAAAAAGAACTGTTCAATTTGGGTGGGTTTAGGGATACCCCTCCACCGCAATCCCCTAAAAACACATTTTCGTGGATAACTCATTTGAATTTTGGCGCGCTTTTTATTTTTAATTTTCCGCCATTTGTCGGTGTTTCGCCAGAAAGCAATGAAATGAAGAGAGGATTGTAAAAGTATTTAAGGAACGGAGATCAAATGGCTGAGACTTTGGAAAGAATGAAGAATTGAATATTCAATTGAAACAAAGCTTTCCTTCCTCTGTTTCGTTCGTAGGTTGTTGATAGATAGATAATAACCCTCGAAAAAGTCCCAAAACCCTCGAAAATGTCGACGTGGCAGATGTTCGCCGACGCCGGCAACAATTACCGGTGGTATCCCGACACACCAAACGACGCCGTTTATCCTACGACTACTACTACTACTCTTCATAGTGATAGTGAAAGGCAGCAGCAGCTCAAGTCGAGCAGTCGGCTGCCTTCCATGGCAGATCTGCTGCTTCAAGGTTGTTCGAAGCTTGCAGAGGCCCAGACTCAGAATCAGAGAAATGGCGTTGATGCTGATGACGGTGTTGGGATGTTCTGCAACGGATTTGGAAGACCCGTCGCCATCAAGCCATCCTCCTTAGCCAAAGCGTCGTCGCTTCTTCAAACTGGAACTGGTAATTAGGGCATTCTGCTGGATTTTTTCAATTTCTCTGATTTATTTATTAAAATTTCCAATGCCAAAAGGTTTTTCTTTTCTTTGAGTTTGTGGTGGTCTCAATCACTCTGGGGAATTTGGTTTCTGCTTCTCATATCCTCTGTTTGTTTGCCAAGGAAAACCCTAAGGATATGAGAGCAATAGGAAAATGGAAAAAAAATAAACAATTTTATATAAAATTAGGAACACTTTTATTTGTTATGAATCAATCAACCACAAGTGACCAAATTTTCTAAGCTCAATGTGCTGTGCTGTGCTGTGCTGTGCTGCAGGCCAAGTGCAAACTACGAATAGTAGAGGTGGTTTCTCTAATTCCCTTTTCCAGACTGGCTCTGGGAAAATGGTTAATATATCTCCGGAGGGTCTTGTCAGGGCAAAGACATTGCTTGGTTTGGGAGACGACAGTGATCACAGCAAGCTTCCGGGTTCCAACAGTGGTGGTGTGGTTATGGATGCTGCATCCATTTCAAGGTCTCCGTTAATTAATAAGACT